CGAAGCACCCAGGCGCTCCCCTCTGGAGCTCCAGTGACCGGTGAGCAGGTCACTTGGTGACACGCACGTGTGACATGCACGTGTGACATGCACGGGCTGGTGTGGAGCCCCCCCACCCCGGCAGTGGACTGGACACGGAACGCGCTGTGAGCCCCAGCCTGGCTCCTCACCGCGCCTCGGCACTGGGGAGTTCAGAGAAATCCTTCCCGGGGGGCCCGGTGTGCGGCGGGGCGGGGGGCGGAGCGTCATCGCAGGCGCAGCCCAGATGTGGGGGGACCGCTCGCCCCAGCACGGGGCAGGCTCGTTTTCTGGTTTTAGCAGAACAATGTGCTCTGGGAGCAGCCGGCGGGGGAAGCGGCGCATCTGCCGGCCAGGCCCCCCCTCCCCCCGCAGCGGGCCGGCAGACAAAGCTCCTCTCTTCTGCAAAGGCCCCCAGGCGCTGGGAAGGGGTGCCTGGCCCCTGACTCTCAGGGACCTGAGGGCTGTCGCCAAGTGACAGGGATGCTGGGAAGTCGCCCCCTCCCCCGCCCTCCTCGTAGTCCAGTCGGCCAGCTTCCTCCCAGCTTCTGCCGGGCTGGGATCCGGGGGCCCACCTCTACCCCTCCCCCACCACCCGAGATCAGGTTTCCGCATGGGCTGGGGTGGGGCCAGAGGCTGTGGGGCAGGGACTCCTACCTGGGCACCCTGGGGCGCTCGTCAGTCCATGGAAGGGCCCCGGAAAATTGTGGGCAGGGCGGTGACGCTCTGCGGCCCGTCCCTTGGGGCCCTGAGCGCTGAGTGGCGTCCCCCACCCACCCAGGCTGGGCGACTCTGGGTGTCCTGGGGGCTGGGGCAGGAAGCCAGCGGCCCCTCCCGGGAGGCCCATTCAGAGAGGGTCGGAGGAGAGGCGGGGCTGCGGGCTGGGGCTGTCCCGCCCGCCAGTCCCGCCTGCCAGTCCGGGCCTCCAGGCGGTGGCCCCGCCTCGCCCAGCTGGCCTTGCTCCTGGGCTTCCTTTTTCCCGTTCTGCTTCTTCCCCTCTTCCCTCCCCCACCCCCTTTAATCTCCTGCAAACGCCCAGCTGAAACCTCCTTCGGTCACCAGAGGGATGAGCAGCTGGTACAGCAGAGGCGGCCACCCCTGGGAGAAGGGCACCCAAGCAGCCTCGGGAGGCTACTCAGCCCAGGACCTGCCCCTCGAGTGCCAATTCCGTCACAGACAGACCCCGATTCCCTGGGACTCAGCTCACAGAGAAGCCTCCAGCAACAACCACAGTCCCAGGTCAGCCCTGCCCGCACCTCGCAGGCCAGGGTCCGACCCTGTCCGCTCCCCCTGGATGGCGGCATCACCTCTCAGGTGGCCCGGCCACCACCCTTCGCTCCATCGCCCTGCCCAGACCCCGTCTGCGGAGACTCATCTGCAACCCCTGAGCCCGTGCGCCTGGCAGCCGGCGGGTGTGAGCCCCCCGCTTCCCGCTCGCTTCTCTGCCGTTCCCACGACGGGGGAGGGGCTCGCGCACACTCCGAAGCCCACTGCAACGACCCCCGTTCTCACAGGACCGGGACACGATCCCCCGCAGTCGAGTGGAGGGATGCGCTTCATTCCCCACGGCCCGAAACACACCAGGACCGAGTCCACGCAGCAGAGAGAAGGGCTTCGCACGCACGGGGCCTTCGCGGCTGCCGTTCACGCACCTTCCCTGGTCTGTGCGGACGCGTACTGTGCGGGCTGGGCCTCTCCCGCCTCGTGGGCCGGGCACAGCCCCCCTCACCGCCAAATCCTAGCCGGATGCCACTTCCCCTTGAAGTCCTGCCAGACGGGGCCCACACCCGCCCCTCCGAGGCTGCGCCCCTTGCCCTCAGGCCCGCGCTGGGTCCTGCACACGAGAATGGGGCCTGCGTGTGCACACGGGGCAGGCTGCCAGCACGTGCTGTGGCCACACCGGTAGCCGCCCCTGCCCAGCAGCGGCTCGGGCCCTGACTCGCCCAAGGTGCACGCCCCTCACCGGGAGAGGGCGGCATCCCGTCCTCCCGGTGACCCGGGAGATGCCCCCCAAGGCAGCAGGGGCCTCATGTGCTGGTGTGTGCGCCTCCAGGGCACCGGCGTCTGCAGGAAATGCCCACCCCGCCCTGGCGGGCTCAGCACAGGGAGGCTACTCTCGCCCTGGACAGAGAGGAAGGCGCCTGTCCAGGCCCAGGAAGGGCTGTGACAGACGGACGGACGGCACTCCCCAGGGCCGGTCCTCCCCTGGCGGGTGGATGCCAGGCCCGGTGCTTCGGGCAGCCCGGGCGGGCGGGGCAGGCAGGGCCCGCCTCCTAAGGAGCAGCCCAGCGCTGTGGGTGCAATGTCCACGCGTAGGGGAGGCCCGGTGGGCACTCCGGACACTCAGGACCTTCCGTAGGTCCGTCTGCTTCGCCCCTCCCCCGTGGCTGCAGCTAGGGGAACGAGGACCTCAAGGGACTGCGACTCTGCCGGCGACGTGAAGAAACTGTCCCCTGACACTGTGCTGCCCCACCTGGCACTCGGAACTGAGCCGGCCAGAGAAGAATGCCCACGTGCCCACTGAGCTGGGCCCCTGGCAGGGTCAGCACGGAGCCCCAGGGAGTCACTGTCCCCTCCCACCATGTGGGCCACGTGCCATCCGCGTAGGGCAGAGGCTTGGAGGGCCCTTGGGGAAAAGTGAAAACAGGCGTCCTGGTGACCACTTCCGGAGGAAAGGACGTACTCACCGGGGCCACCTGCGCTTCCTCAAGGCAGTCCGGCTGCCAGGGGCCACCTGCCCGCCATGCTGTCCTCCCCAGAGGCAGGCAGAGGCCCGAGCTGCAGGCTCTGGGCTCCTGGCCAACACAACCCAACCTGCACCGGGCCGAGGCCAACGGCGTCTCCAAGCCCGGGTCAGGGCGCAGTTCTGCCCCACGGCTTTGGAGATACTTCGTTGAGCGAGGGGGTCTGGAATTTAAGTGACTTCTCAAGACCGACCTGGGGACACTGTTGTGCGTGCAAGCC